CGATGCTGCTGTCAGAGTCCGGGGATTACGGCCACGCCGTCGACGAATGGATGGGCCGGTCGGGCTCATTCAGGGCCCCCTCCCCCCGCGCCAGGGGCTCCGGCGGCAGCCCATCACGCGCGGCGCAGGCCGGCTGGCACGTCCCCGCCGGCGGCGCCGGCGGCGGCGCGCCGGCGCCGCGGCTCGGGCGCCTGCTGTCGTTCGGCATGCGTCTGCCGAGCATCGACGGGCGGAGCTTTGGCGTGTCGCCCCGAGGCGTGGCGCCGACCGGTGACGCGGGGTCTGGGTCGCCGCCCACGTCCCCGGGTGCCGCCGGGCGCGCCGCGGCTGCGTCGCCGCAGAGCCGCCGCGCCCGCGCGTGGGAGTAGCCGCCGCGGCCGCCGCAGACGTCGCCGCCGGGGGCGCAGGACGGGGAAAGAAGCACGCAGGCAGCCCCTCTGGACCGTCCGAATGGGCGTGTGGCACGCGCACCAGCAGCAAGGACGTGCATTGCTCGGGAGCACGCGGCGCCCGCGCTTTGGGACCCAGCATCCCTGCGCAGCATCCCTGCAGCTGTCACTGTGCATGTAGCAATTCCTGACATTGCCGGGAGAAGGGGGTGTGTGCTGCAGCAGAGCAGGGTTGATTGCAATTGGTACTGTGCATCCCTTGAACACCAGCCCGTTGAACACCGCTGTGCCACAATTTGGCGTGGCGCCATGTTCCCTGCATGTGAATTTCTCTGTGTGTAAGAGCGGCTGCTGCTCATGTGTTGCAGCAGATCCGCAGGGCCCAACAAAAGCCTGGGTCGCCTGGTGACAAAATTGCTGGCTTGCTTGCTTCACTTCAGCAGTGGCCGGCAAGTGACGGTACCGCTAAATGGATTGTAATGCACGCACCTCACGAAATTACAATGCAGCCATTTGAGGCCGTGCCAATGGGTCAATTGCTCACACAGCAGCATGCCCATGAGTGATGTGCAGGCTGCACGACAGGTGCACCTCGCAATCGAAGCGAGGTGTGGGCTTTTGCACCAAAACGCTGCGCCTCGTACCTGGCCCCGCCACTAGCGCAAGAGGGGCGCCCCTGCTCCGCCTGCTGCTGGTGCGAGCCGCCCCGCTGCGGCCGCGGACGCGCCACTACCCTCCGCCACGCTCGTTGTCTTTGGCTCGGCACCAGGAAGCACGAAAGCCTCACGGCCCGTCGTCCCAGTCATCATCCGAGTCCTCGATCCCCTCCTCCACCTCCACCCCAGAGCGGCCGCCGCCGCTGCGGCGGCCGCCGCGGCCCTTCGCGCGTCCGGCGCCGGGCGCGGCCGGCTCGGCCGGCAGGTAGCCGTTGGCGCGCGCGGCCTCCCGCTGCTCCCGCCTGTCGCGCAGCACCTTGCCTGCGTTCTCCAGGTTCCGCCATTTGTCCTTCAGGTCGACCTGGGTGGTGGTGCGCGTGTATGCGTGTTTGTGCGTGTGCGTGTGTGTGCCCTGATGTGTGCAGGTGTGTATGAGTGCGTGTGTTGCATGAGTGTGTGAAGGTATTGTGTGTGTGTAAGGGGTTGCGGCGTTGTTGTGTTTGTAGGGAAGAGAGTGTGTATGTGTGTGCGCGCGTGTGTGTTTCTTGGCGTGTGGGAGGTCGCTTAGGAAAGGCAGGCATGCACGTCAACACCACCCAAGTGCAAATCGGCCAAGCTTGCAGCTCTGTGGCTTGCACTGAAGGGCAACTTAGATGACCACCAGTCTCAACCCGGCGCTCGTTTCCGAGGCGCCGCAGCTGGTCAGCGATGCCGACACTCCCGCCCAGCGGTCCCCCCCACGCGCCAGCCGCAACGCGCCTGCGTGCGGCTCCTGAGCCGGTCGCCGGCCGCATCCAGGATCGTTCTCCAGTTACCGGGGCCGTGCTGCGGTTGGGGCGGGCGCGCCAGGGGTCATGGCTGGGAAACGAGACAAGGAGCAGCCTGCCGGGCAAGGCGGCGACCTGGAGCGCCTGGAAGCCGCTCGCCTAGGCGCCCGCTCACAGACCCAGGCCCCAAACCACACCACCGCCTGCGCCTATCGCAAATTGTAGCCTCTGCCGACTTCAGGCGGGGCCTCTTTCAACCCCCGGCCAGTACGCGTCGCCACGAAACCCAGCGCGCCCAGCCGCGGTGGCCCTGCAAGCGCAGCAGAACCCCGCGTGACGGCCCCGAGCTAGCGCCCACCGCGTAAGTGAGGTTGACGAGGGCGTCGGTCTCGTCGGGGGTCCAGCGGCACACCTTGCGGCGCTTGAGGGCCGGGCTGGTGTTGATGGCCACCTGGGGTCCACGAGGGGCGCAAGTTGGCCGGTCAGAGTCGATGCGGTGCCACACGGTAAGGCAGAGCCGGGAGGCAGGGGCGGGAGGGGGCCAGGGCATCACAACCCTGCCAACCGCATGCATACGATTTGAGTGGCGCGATGGTATGCCTCCAGCGTCGCGTCTGGCGCTGGAAGCTGCGATCGCACCGTGCCATTCCCCCTCACCGTGTTGCCTCCTGGCAGGGCCACCACCGCTGGGCCGGCCGGCGCCCGCTGAGGCGCGGGACTCGGGCTGTCCCAGCGCATCTCGCGCCCTCGCGCGCCGCCGCCCGCGCCCGTGATGGCGCCGCGCCGCGCGCCCGCGCCGCCGCCGCCGCCGCCGTGCTGCGGGGGCGCAACCGCCGCTGCATGGCCCCGCGAGCCGCCTCTTGATGCCGGTGGGCTGCCGCCTGCCGTTGCTGTGTTCTCTTTGTCATGCCCATCCTCCTCCCCTTCCTCGTCCTGCCGCTGCTGCTGCTGCTGCTGCTGCTGCTGCTGCTGCTGCTGTACCTCTTGTCTGCGCTGTTGGCCCTCCTCTTGCTCCTGCTGCTCCTCCTCCTCCTCCTCCCGCTGCTCTTCCGGCTGCTGCCGCCGCCGCCGGCGCTTCGGCCCCTTGCCTGCCCGAGGCGGCTGCGGCGGCGGCCCCTTCGGCCCGCCCTCGAGATCACTCAGATCCCCGGCCGCGTCAACCGCCGCAG